AAGATGTCTACAGACTCCTAATAACTACTCTGATTCAAGTTTACTGCTCTGAAGTAAGAAAATCTCAAAATCTCATTCAAAAATTACAATAACTGAAGTTACTGCCACTAACTCCGCTACCACATATGTCCACATGCACAAAACTTCTAGAGAAAACACGTATAAAGAATCACAAGGGTGCAAACCCAAGAATTAACATATTGCTAACAATTGCGGTGAAAAATCTCGTTAAAAAAACAAATAAGTTCCCCTGAAGTGTCGAAGGATGCAAAATGCGCGCGGCAATGGTCACATCACAGATATATCAAGATCAATATGGATTTTTTGATCATATCGTGATGATCTCAAACACTACCAATTCTAGGATGCAAAATGCTAATTTGCGCTTTTTAAGACAATTTGCTTTTGTAGCTGGCAGATCGGTTTAATGATGGATGACTGCAAGATCGAATTGATCGCAAGTTCATTCAGTCACATGAACAGATACACCGTTTTGTTACTTCATGTTATTAATAGCAATCGATGGCGCACTTCTCGTAGAACGTGCAAAGATAAAGATCAAAAGTGCGTGCTTTGAACGGGACTAGAACATATCTCTTCTATCTGAAATGAGTATTTTTACAAAACTGTTCGACTCAAATCTAATAATGGTGGGAGTAAGCCATTTTCTTATTGCAATAGTATTACTACTCCCTTTCAAAATCTCACGGCTCCCCTTACATAGAGAGTCTGCTGAGTCCGCCGCTAACAGCAATGTTCCTATTCCTGCACTCAAGATTTCTTGACCTCTCATTGAGTAAAACATATTGACCTCCCCCCATCCTATAAAACAAGTCGTATTATGCATTCTAATAGACTGTGTCCAATACAATACGGAAGACTTCTTTCATTCACATCTACTACTGCAACACTCGAATGTCTCCCTTTCACAAAAGATACAGTGTCAAAACACTTTCCGCCCTTTCCTAGCTGAACTTTGTAATCAGAGTACTGAATCCGCCAGAACGTCTAGATGTCAATAGATACACTCTTTTTGATCGCCAAAGATTTGGCTACAACCACATCCAACACAACATTTATTAAAAACAAAGCTTCAGATAGATACTGCACCATAGATAAAACCCATGAAACAAGAGCAGCATTACCAAGATCTTTCTTAACACAACCGGCAAGAGGATAAGGCACATCAAACATTTACATTCACAGAAACATAACTTACAGAAAACCCTAATGCAATCGTTCTAGTCACCCGTCAGCCTATAGGCTGAAAGAACGTTCACCGAGAAAGCACATATAGCCCCGAGATGATTGATCAAATAATGAACACAACCATAATTTTAGAATTCTCAACAAAACTTCTACAACTCAGACTGTTAACACAGACTGTGCTTATTAACACTTATTATATGGATACAAATCGAGAGAGCAATCATGCAATTACTTGCGAAAAGCCGTCCTGATGACGATAAATGATGATCGCCGGTCTCGACTTACGGTCCATAGCAAAGATCTTCTTCATTTGCTCATACAAACATTCCATATCTTCTTTAGCTTTTCCACACGATTTACAGAGTCCATCAAACACACGGTTGACCTGTCCGCAGAAAAAAATTAAATCTACAAGGTAACAATCAGATAAATCTAAATTTTA